CGCCGATTCTTGTGCCAAACTGATATAAAGACTATTTATCATGATTTCATAGTTACTTGAACTGCGTTGAGTCTAAACACTGCCCACCAAATTTGCTAATGGCTACCTTAGAGTTGTTTGAACTTGTAGAAATTAAACGCCGATCTTTTGCGACTTGGATGTTACGTGGCGCACGCTTGAGTGCTTGCTGGTCTGATAAATACGGATCCGACGTAAACTAGCTAAGTGATCCGGCTGTAGTAGCTAGGTTGATCGAGTCCAAGACTTGGCATACAACAAACCGCCGACTACATTACGATTTGGCATTCTCCCGTGCTAACTACTTTCTTTGCATATAGAGTTGGTCATCTTTAGTCCCAGGTCTTGGGTTGTCTTGACAAGGCCACTCATGCGAGAATCATATTGTAGACTTAGAATACCACACATATCATGGTTTGGTATTTCGTTTGACGTTTATGCAATCGTCTCACACTTTTTGCTCGGCTTAAGTCACAAGTGGTCGATATCTTTGTCCTAGAATTGCGATGAGGATCTGGGAGAAAAGAAAGAGACGAAAGAAAAAAAAGAAGATGGCGAACGTAGTCTAGAAATCAAATCAGTGGAGCCACGTGGCTGTATCAAAATCATCTTTGTCCTGTAGCCTACTCAGGAGTGCCGTTTTCGTCTTGTTAGTGTAACGTTAAAATATATTTAGTCTCTAGACTGAGTGACACTTTAGATGACCTGCTGCTGGCGTTTTAGCAAAGGTTTCTCCACAGCCTGCGCCAAACCTTTCCCTGCAACCTTTGGTCATGATTTATATCATGGTTTGATCCATATCTTTGCTTAGGTGTCCTTGACGCAAAAATCTCACCCGCAACCGATTGTCTTTTGGTATTTTGGTTATTAAACAAGAACACGGTCGTTCCTACAGGGACTGTTGATTTATGCATTGCGCGCCACTTTCATTTAGCGATGGTGTCGATTTTGTCGCCGGCTTGAGCTAGACCACATTTTTACTGAATTCGCGACTTAGGTTGCATCAAAATTCTCATATTGTCTACTTGCGACTTCTGACAGTTCTCCATTAGCGTTTGTGGTCGAGTTTGCAGTTTGAATTCGATTTATGACCCTGTACACGACTGTATTTATTTCTCCCATGCGGGGAAGGCTCTTAGTCAAAGCTTGAGCCGCTGATCTTGCCTTCATGATAAGTTTTGTCAGCCTTCGTCTTGCATCGCAGCTTTTGGCACGTCAGTGCCGGGTTCCACCGTCAGGCACGTATCTCATGAATTATGCGTTATGGCTCACAAGCACGCGACGACTATGTTTTTAGATATACAAATTGATTATCGATAAAAGATGGTTAGTGCATTAGTTTGGCATTTTGCGAAGCAAGTAGAAGTTGCTGCGGGTTGGTAAGTTGTCAAGTGACGCAATACCTCACTGTCTGAACATCTGATTGATGTGACGTAGCCTTGCGACTGCCACATACGCATGAGAGCCGAACATTTTAAAATTCGCCTTCCAGATGTTGCCTGGTTCTCAGTATCTTGTGGCGGTTATTTTCGAAGTGTCAAAGCCGCTAAGGCTGCGGCGCTACCTCCATGCACAAAGACTGACATGATAGCATCATGTTTCTAAAACATACATGGCATATCATATTTGAGCAGAAGCTGTGAATGAAACGCACAAGGGTACAGTATTTGAAGCTGTTTTTTATCTTGGACATTCTGATAGGGGGGCAGCATATCCTATTCGGAAAACCGTTTGAGCATAGCATGTAAGTGTTGGTCATCATAATCATGATGTTGAATCAATAATTGCTGAGTGATGACTAGAGGCCAAAACGCATGACTATTGAAGTCAGGTGAATTTGTGGTCCTTCTCCAGAATATCATGCGTATTAGCTGACATTTAACAAGCAATCCCAAACATCCGGCATTATGTGGTTGGACATAGAGCTCAAAATTCTCGGGCAGAAAGTTGTCGGCGCGCCTGAGTGCCTGCATCTTTATCTTAAAAGTGAGAAGCCTACGTAAAATTCACCATACGAGAATTTTTAAGTCAATGCTCACAATGCCTGAGGAGCACCTCTTACAGCTGGATGAGCAGCGACGACGTTAGTCAGTATTCACGATGAGGACCAAATCTTTGGTGCGGTATGGGGACACTACCGCGGGCTATATAGTTTAGCTCGAAGATGAGAGGCTTGAAGCTTTTCCAGCTTTCCAGCTTTACAAGCCAGGTCCGATGGGTAAACCGACCAATACGCCGCTTAGTATTCGACATTGCTAGATGTAGATGGCAACTTATCAGTTTTGGCTGGGGCTGGACTTTACTTAAGGATGGTTGCTGACATATGTCATGCGAGATCTGATAAAGATTATGGCGAGTGCGCTGAGCTAAGTGGTCACGTGGATATGTAGAGAGATCCTTTGCTATTGGCTTTACGATGTCACAAGTAATACTGCAAGGCAAACCGTTTGAATGCGTACTGCTGAAAATCCTCGACAAGATTTGTTCATGGCGTCATTGGCGCTTACGAATTGACACCGTCGTAACTGTGGAGCTATAATCTACAGCACCCTTTATCTTTACAGCGATAACACTAGGTTGCACAGCACAACACGCCAATGAAAGCGAGTCGAGTTCGGCTTTTCTTCAAATTTGAGACACGACCGATTGCTGTAGCAGCGGATCCATGAAAATGAGCTGTGCTGTCGATAGTGGTGCGGTGGGTGCCTGTCTTAGTGTCGTCGTTACGTTTTTTTTCGAAGCATCGAGAATTCTGTGACGCTCTTAGCCAATGTTGGTTCCATTGAATTTTTTTTGGTCGAAAATGGGTAGGCAAAAAATCTGCCTGCCAACGCTCGAATTGGGTTGTGAGCGAAACCTCAATCTCTTACAAGTTCGTGGAGTGGGAGTCGTGCTACCACTTTGCTAGACACTAATTATACTCTTTACAAACACGCTGACCACAATCCGTCCAATATAATGTAAATTTTACCTTGATCCTCAGGGAGGTATCAAGATTGTGGCGGAACAACACAATTCTTTGAGCATGGCTTGTCTTTTAAATACGCTCACGATGATCTACATCTGTTTAGACCAGTTCTCAATCACACTACCGATTTAAAGCAAAAGATAGCTCAGCCACAGGCATGTCTTTAAACGCTGATATGATTACAACAGCGTCCGATTTGGGTATGAGAGCGGTGTCGCAATACGTCCATGATAGTATTACCTAAACGCAGGTAGTATTTGTATTTTAAAAAAAATATTTACAGTATGATCAGTTTTCTCGAGGATACAGCTTTAAAGGTGTAATGTAGCAAAGGCGCAACTTCGCCGTATAGACCACTTACACTGCATGCATGAGTGGATTTTCCAGCGTGTAGTAAAACGTGGTCACTCGCAATTAAATGATTAGCACTAGTCTGTTTTTGCGTTGGAGCTGTATACATTACATTTGAGCCATAGCGTGCATGACGATCAATTTCTAAGAGATATAGTCATCGATTCTGCTGTCAAGTGTAGCGGGCCATTACCAGGTGTCAACATTTACTCTCCAACTAAGATCGAGATCACAGTATGATGTTGGAAATTAACACAAGAATTAATAAGCCAGCAATGGAAACGGATGACGAGCCTTTGAGGGTGTAAACATGTTATTCAGCAAAATTTAAATGACAAGATTATGCTCCAACACCATCATCATTCCGTGCAAGTGCTTTGTGGTTTTCTTCCATCATGCGACAAATTCTATCAGCTCGTGGATGATCTGCTGTAAATAGTTTTGATTATTCTAAAGAATCTTGCCAAAATTTTGCTATGGATTTGATTCATTTATCTCACAAGCAAACAATATTGGCAAAAAAAACATTGTTGAGAAGCAGCTTTGCTGTAATCTCACCGATGCCGTTGTTGTTGTCAGCAGCGAGAGAAGCCATTTGGTTCAGTTGAACAATAAATGCTATAAAATCGGTATCTACAGGAGCATAAATAAGAAAGGCTGAATAATACATGCGCTTGAGCGAAAAATATATCCGATTCGGCATGCTTGCCAAGGATGCTAACGCTTGCACTGTTATTTATACCTTTTGAAACGTTCAAACGTAAGTGCTTTTGTGCTCTTTCATTTACTTGTGTAGATACACTAGTGCATTGCGCTCACTAGGCTGTACATCTTCTCGACGGCTTTTACCTTCTTCAAGAATATTAATGACATCTGCTTGTGATATTCTATTTGTGGAGGACGTGTGTTAGGTGATTCACGACAAATGTTGGGGAACGTTCTTTTTCCAGCAATGATGCACTCCAACTGCAAAGTGACGTTTTTACATCATGTGTAGCAGCATTTGGTTGTTGTTAGCATAAAAGCTCACCTAAATGTTGCTAATTCTTATTGCCGCCGAAGAATCGAGTCACAGTAGCTTACCAAATTGGCTTCGTGCTTTGACTTAAAATGTCGATTATGCTGCGCTGGCTTCTTTACAAGGCGTGTTACGCAATACTCGGTTCCTGATTTAGGTCAACTTTATAAAAAATCTTCCAGTGTGAAGCGAACCATAGTGATAGATCTCTCGTCACCACATTTTGGTACTTCGTCAGCAAGGAATATCAACATTCGTGATATTTATGATGCTGACGACTCTTTTCCTCGCTTTCAATACTTTGAGAAAATCCTCCATGTCGGATGATAACTAATTCTCAGCAATATCAATACCAGCTATTTAGCTGCGTGCATGGTGTAATCTTGGAGAAATGATTTCTCAGCACTACAAAGGCTTTTTCTCTGGAAGGAGACGAGAATAATTATTTTCTTCGACGATCTTACAGTGATGGAAACAGTTGAGGATTGCCTCTGCTTTCACATCAGAATTCCAGGCTTGAACAGCCATGCGGATAGCTTGAAGTATGTCAATATTCTCTGGGGCTTCGACTTGGTCTTCGAGGCGTTGAAGCAGGATGCGGTTGAAGCGCCTGTGGTAGTATGCTTTG